TCGTCTACCTCCACAAAGCTTTTGTTCCGTTCATTAAGAATCAACCTGTACATGTATATATTGTCACTAGAAATATAATTACAAGCCTTATCATGGTACATTTTTAATTATATTTAATATTAACATTGGCGTTTTTGAATTTTCGCATTAATGGAATTTTCGAAACATTTCTATAATGAATTTTGTTTATGGTATAAATCGGCCTGATTTGTGTGCAGCGTGCTCGTTACGCGTCACGTGATCGGTATAAATAAAACAACGGCTCGCAGCTTTGCCGTCGCTCAGCAAAGCCTTTGTGACGTCATGTTGCAGCCCGCGCTCCCCCTACCGACCAGATTTAAGGCTTAATCATTACGTAATGGGTTCACATCGTTTTGTATCCGTGCTGCTGCAGTTTTATAATGGTAATTCCTTTTAAAACAGATAAGTAATGTTAAAAATGTTTTACATACGTTTCGTATCGTTGATTTGATTATATATTTAAGTTTATGTAGCCTTCAGACTATAATAATAATAATAATTACTTCAAATATGGAATGAATGAGAATGTTATGTGCAATCGGAGCAGGGGCAATATAGAAAAGAAAAATACCCTTTTTTGTAAGTCCCTCCTCTCTCTATTAAAGATAGACAACGCATCGGCAACCTTTTAACTTCTTATGTCTATGGCCAGCGGTCACTTCGCTTTTGTAGCGAATCCGGTGGCCGCTTGCTTGCCACTTTCTGCTAAAAAAAACAATTACGTAGTGTTTAGAAGATTTGTAGGTATACATTTTGCTTTTACATACGCTTCATATATTTCATAATTTATGGGAGAGTACAACACGTTCGTGACTCGTGTTACTTTTTGTTTTCATATTGTTCACGTATTTTGTTCACAGGTACGATTAAAATAAATGGCAGTTCATAAATCATGACGGTCATGACCGCTTCCTTTGTAAAAAAAATGTGAACATTACGTAGTCATGGGTAACTCGACTAAAATTTATGTCTTTCAGATCAGCTCACGATTCGCATGTGTGAATCAGTCAAAAGACTCGCAACTCAGCTCTTTTTGTACTTGGGAAAAGTAAGATTTGAGTATCGAGTTAGTAATTAGCGTGTCATTGGGCAATAGGAGACGAAAATGCGCGGTCTGTTTTAACTATCCGCGAGCCGCGAATGCATGATTCGTCGCTCTTCGGTCGCGTGTCCTCGGCTCGCGTAGTACATCGTGTTAAGCCGTCAGCTGCTAATTAACTTGTCTGTATGTATGTATTCGTTTGACTTTAACTAGCCACTAATACCCTAATTTGTTGAAGACAATTGAGAAGTTAATACTTTAGAAGAATGTCGAGTAAGCCTTACGTAATCTTTATTAAAATATTATTAATAATTCCAGTTAATATAATGCAGAGACAGTTGTGTATTCAATAGAGAGATAGAGCGGCAGGTGCGGCGGTGGTGTGGCGGCGGTGCGGGCGTTTTTAATAAAGTACACAAACACATGCGACTCGACTGTGCCATCTCGTGTTGCGAGGCCTTTACTTAAATTGAATTGAATTTTTATTCACAAATTGAATCACTCCGAATTGCCAATTAGTTTGTTGATATTGGATAAAAAGTCACATTGATAATGTTCGTTTAAAAATAAGATTTATTTGAGAAAGTTATTTCTAAAATCTTCAATGAATACATCCAAGGATGAAGCAAATTACTTAGAAATTGTTTCCGGATGTATCGATATTGGATGGATTTTATCAATATAATAAAATAACGTCGAAGGGAGGTAGAGAACCCGTCAATTGATGAAAAACAGGAAACAAGATTGCCTCGGGAGTATTCAAGCTGTAACATATTGTGTGTAATTTAAAACTAGCCGTCGCCCGTGACTCCGTTCTCGCAGCAAGATCAGCAATTTCAGCAAGATCCATGCCGTTCTGGAGATACCTTCAAAAAAAATCCATCCATCCATCTAAACATTCGCGTTTATAATATTAGTATGAAGTATGATTAGCGT